TTTCTTCTCTAGCGGCTACAAAAGTGGTTAGCTATTTGATCATTCTGTCCATCGACTGAGTGAAACATACCCCGAATTTGTTGAGTGGCAGTGGCATAAGCTTGAATTTCTTCGCGACTCAACACTCTAAGCACAATTACGAAATCATCTCGAGCTTCGAATCGTTCTTTTCCAACCTCTAGAGCGGCAGGATTTACCAATTTTCTGGCAATCTTGGTCCAACGTGCATCAGGAGGGACACCATCCTTCTTGGCATCTTTCAAAGGAGCAACACCCTCACGGATTGGAGAAGGATCCTCGGGAAATTTCTCACGTGGTTGACGTAAAATACCCTTTATGGCAGGCTTCTCAGGCTTCTCTTCAACCTTCTCTCTTGGTGGTGAAACGACACGTGCTTGTTTGTTTTCACCTGTGGTAGGTGCTGATGATTCGCGACGACCTCGCTCTTCACGGTTAAGTTCAGCTCTCAATTCGGCTACCTCACTCATATCTTTGGTGATAGACTTTCTACCAAGTGGCTTGTTGGATGGTGCTAGTGCAGGTTCCTGAGCAGATTGTTTAGGTGCGAGCACTGGCACAGGCTCTTTATCAGCAGGTGCATCTTGATCGGCCAATGCAGCTTTCAATGCTTTCAAATCCATGGTATCTCTTGGGTTAAATGGTGCAGCCGCGGCTCCAGAAATACGTCTAGGTCTGCGATGACGGTTTGTTGCTTCATCTGACGTGTCTGAATTATTATCATTGGGGGCACCAGTTGTTGCTGCGTCGCTACGAGGACGATCATCTGGCGAGGATAATCTTTCCTTGGGATTTCGACCACTCAAGTCAACAAAATCGTTATCTGGCGAACGTCTGTCTCGGTCATCTCTAGCAACATCACGTGAAGCTGATGGCACTTCTTCTCGGCTTCTTTCTTTCCTCGAATCAGATACATCATCTTCTTCGCGGCGGCGAGGAGGCAATGGTGGTGTGACTTCACCTCTGTCTCTGTGATGTCTCTCCTTAGGTTCTCTACCGACCGATTCAGTAGAATCTCTCTCGTTGCGATGACTTCTTTCCCTTCTTTCCTTGCGATCTGGTCTATCAGACTCAGAGGAATCCCGGGAGTCAGTGTGACGACGTTCATTTGAAACATCCACCGTCTCTTTGTCGCCACGCTCACGTCGCCTGCGTGAATCGTCCCCATAATCCTTACGTCTTCTTTCATCATCTCTATCATCGCGATCATCAGGCTTCATGGTATTTGCCATAGCTCCAAGGCCAAGAGCGGCAGAGGCTATGCTGAGTCCCGTTGCAAGCTTCTCATGCGTGCTAGACTTTTTCTCGCGTCGATCATCCTCACGTTCATTTCTCGGAGATCTATCGTGTCTATCGGACCTTTCATGTCTCTCGATTCTCTCTGGTCTTTCTGCTCTACTAGCCGGCCTTTCTGTTCTCTCAGCACGACTGGCAGGCCTTTCTTGTCTTTCTGTTCTCTCAGGGCGCATTCCAAAGCCACGCTGTTCAACAGAATCATCATATCTCTCCTGTCGGTGATGTGGTTTTCGCTCTCGCATTTCTTCCTCCCTTGGGTTATAGTATTCATCTCTAGGGACATGCCTGGTGCTATCTCTATCTTGGTACATAGAAACAGGTCGCCTAGTTGAAGTTCGTCTTTGAGGTCCATCACTCTCATAACCTGCGGGTGGATCCATACGAACTGGGCGTTGAATTGGTTCAATAGGTGTGACATGGGGAACGGGGATTCTGGCGGAAGTTGGCTGAGGGTCCCATGTTTGGATTCTGTCAAAACCACGTGTAGATGGGGGTGGACCGCGCTCTCGGGTATCATAAGATCTTGGAGATTGAACAGCTTCACCAAATCCAAGAGGGTTGGTCAGGCTAGCACTAGCGGGTCTAGTTCTACTGTCGATGCTATCCCTGCGCGTATGCCTTGGATGACTGTTGTTCAAATCATACGTAACCAAATCTTTGGGATTTGTATAACCATAACCATCCTCTCCATAATCGTCTGCAACTGTATCTGGATGTCGTACTAGATTGGCAGTGTATACGGGCCCACGAGGTTTGGTAGTGGTAGTTGTTGTTGTAGCGTATGATGGAGTAGATGCTGGAGTCGAGTACGATGCAGTGATTGGAGTAGGTATGTATGATGAGGCAGTTGATGGGGTGGGAATATAACCTGGGATGTCTCTGCTACTAGGAATACCAATTCGAAGATGGCTCGGCTCTCTATGCCCGTGAGAGTCTCTAGAGGATCTGTTCATATCGGCATTATCCAGAGAAGCATATCTGCTGTGGTGATGAGAACTTCGAGATGAAGCTGGAATTGTGTAATATTCTTCCTGGCTTGCGCGATATGGATTCTTGATGGATGGACTGGCAGGTCTCACAACCGAAGTATGAACCACCGTTGGATGCTTGGGAATTGAAGTGAATACGGTATGTGCATTGGGTCGAGAATCAACCGTGTTGCTGCGAGTGCGGCTGGCAGTACGGTGCTCAGGTTTGACTTTGTATGTTGTTGTAGTAATGGGAACATGAGCAGCATTGAAGCTTGAGCTGCTGGTTCGAGGGTTTTCGTGTCGAGATAAGGGTACGACATGATGATGGGTGTGTGATCCCGAAGAATGATTATTGTATGACAAATCGACTGGGAGACTTGCTCGCGCAGGATTGTAGGTTGGTGACCTTGGTCGTGTGTGTCTGCTGTATCGGTCGCTCATCTTGGGGATGTTTATATTCAAAGTATTATTATGGTGCGTCGTTGCTTAACTTTTGAATTATTTGAAGAGTCGATGGATGTAGCGAATGATGAGAGTAGAAAGTGGAGGAATGATGACTCGAACTTCGCCGCAATGTAATTTTGGACTCGATCTCGATATTGTCAGCTTTTTTGTGGAAAGTTTTCGTCTAGCGAAAATCCGAGAGATAGTTAGCAATCAAGTGATTATCAATGCCGTCGCCTGCCCAAATTTTCACGATATGATAAGAGTTGTACACAAGGCGGGATTGGTGGGTAACAAACAATAAAATCTTCAAGAAAATGTCCGAACTCGAGTATGCAGATTACTTGGTACTGTAAGGCTACCAATAATCCCAGTGTAGACGGATAGTTGCAGGAATGGATCTCTGACTGCAGTAAAATTCTGAAATTATGTTTTGCAGATACGTGATTGCGATATTTGAGTGGTATAAGGAGAATGAGGTAACAGAGACAATGACCCAAGTAGGGAGATATGGGGTAATCGGTCGTGAGATTTTAAGTCGAGGGGGGGGTGAGAATGTGGTGTGGCGCTTCTGTTGCCTGCCTGCCCAGGTGGTGTTTTGAGTTGTTCTGAACAAGATTAACCCCGCTGGGTGGGTGTACTGTAAGACATGTGCGATTGGATTGGAAGGGAAGATTGGGTCGACGTCGTACACTCCAAAATTAATTTTGGCTACGAATGCGGGAATGCAGGAATGCAGGAATGCAGAAGATGAGAAGATGAGAAGATAATAAGCAAGAAAAGAAGGACGACGAGGTTGTGCTGGAAGAGAAAGTAAAGGGCGAAATGAATGGAGAAGAAAGGGAAGGGAATGAATGTCAAGAGTGTGACTGGATTTGGATTTCCGATTTCCAAGGTTCGGTTCTAAGTTTGCCTTCTTTTTTCCTTTATTGCTTGCTTAGTATTCCTCCTCGAGTAAAAGAGTCAAGAGATATACATGCGATACAATAGGTGAGGAGAAAAAGAAGGCTTTAAAGGAGGAGGGAGGATGTATACATGCATGTAAATTCTTGTTCTTCTTCTGTATCGTCGTCGTTGTTTTTTGTTGTCGTCGTCGTCGTCGTTGTTTAGTCGGATCGGATAGGATAGGTTTTGTTATATTTTAAGAGAAAAATAAAAAAAAGTGCACGGGGAAAGAAGGCGACTAGAGTTTTAGTGTTCCCAGATGTGGATTCCTTTCCTTTGCTATCTCCTTCTGCGAGGGATTATATTGGACAGGATGGGTGAGGAGATAATTATGAGACTAGTGAGCCCAAGTGAGAAGTGAGGTCGTATGGGTGGATGGATGGATGGATGGATGGATGTCCTCTGTCTGTAGGTATGGGTGGATTGGTGTTGTGAAATTCGATGTATGGAGGGGGTGTGGTATGAGGGAGTGTGGATTATGTGTGTGTTTTGTGTGCGCGCGTGTGTGTACCTAATACCAGAGTTGTCTGGATGGGATGGTATGGATGGGATGGTATGGATTAATTGAGGATGTATGATGGGTCCTCTCTTCTGCTTTTTCCTCTTTCAATAGAGATGACACGGACAGAGTGTACGCACAGATGCATAGATTACAAGAGATTGAGATTCGCTAAACCCTTGACCATGACGTTTTGTACAGACGACGGAGTACACAGATGGAAAAAAAGAACCGAAAATGGACCCATGTCTTTGTGGTATCCATGTTCAATCTGGATGGTTTATGGTTGAGTGAAGTGTGAAGTGTGAAGTGTGAAATACATGATGTGTGGTGTGTGATGTGTGATGTGAAGCCAAGTCAAGTAAAGGGTAGTGAAGTCATTTCACACAAAATGGCAAGGGAAAACATTCAACTGGTATGATGAGTATAAAAATAATGAATGATTAATAATTGTGTCTAGGACCTACCAAGTGAGGTTGGAATTAATTCCCTATTAAAAAGCCATATTCGAGTTGATTGCTGGTTCAGAAGCGACTTTCGTTTATGGCCAACTCCTCCATCATACATCGTAGATAATCGAATATAACGTAGAATATATTACCTAGGACCTCCATTATATACCGAGAGTAAGTACCTAGGTCTTCTCCTCTCTACCTAGTACCTAGCATTATCTCAAAGTCTTTCCTGTCTCCCACGCCCACTTCATTCAAACTACCTAGTAGGTAGGTACACTTCACTCAAATTGGAAAATATACCTCATGTCATATAGCCATATTTGGAACTCCTTCTCGCTTCAGACATCTTCTACTATTCTCCTCCTTCTTCTACTATTCTCTCCTTCTTCTACTATTCTCTCCTTCTTCTACTATTCTCTCCTTCTTCTCCTTCTTCTCCTTCTTCTCCTTCTTCTCCTTCTTCTCCTTCTTCTCCTTCTTCTCCTTCTCCATCCCTTTCTCTCTTAGTGCCAAGTAAAGTTTCCCATTTGATGCATTGCCCAAACAACAGCTTCCTGTCTTTCTTCCCCCAAACTCTACGCAGAGGTCCCATTCTGTTAATCAGGCACAAACAAGCACCCAGGTTTGGAAATGTCAAATAGATAGATTGGTAAAGCTATCACCCATAGCTATAGCTACTTGCTTCCCGCCATCAATTATCACTACCGTCCCGTCGCGCTCCAACTTCCAAGGGGTTTGTAATTTCATGCAGGGCTCAGTTCATTGGGCTGCAGAAGATGCTCCACTCTTCTGATGCCTTACGAGCCAGTCCAGTAGTGTGACGGCAGTGTACAATCAATCCAGACATCCTCCGAATATTGAATCCAACGAGTCTTCCACTTCGAAAGTCTTCTTCCTGCCCTGCCACCATCCTTTCACCGAGTACCTTTACACTGCAGGAACTATTCTTTGCATCTTTTTCCTTTTGGGCTGAGCTGGTGGATCATCCAATCACATTTTCTTCTTTCATGGCGTGGAGAACTAGGACCCTCCCGTCTTTGGATCTTGCGATCACTGGTAGACCAATTACACATATCGCCTATAGCCGTCTCAAAGTGTGGTTGAGGCATGTTTTTCACGTTTTTGACCCTTTTTTTTATTTTTCCTTCCTTTCTTCCTGGCCTGCTCGTTACCAATTTCCCATCATCAAATTTCTTTCTTCTCCCCGAACGGTGCACATGACATCATTTCTTTTAATTTTCTTCCTCTTAATCACATCAAATCACATCAAATCACATCAAATCACATCAAATCAAATCAAATCCAAAAAAACCTAACGTGGCTTATATATCCCCCATACCCTATATCAAAATATGTACGAGCTTTTCCAATCCCAAGGAGATCCCTAGAACTTTATATACGGAACGATCCATAATCCATTCTATCCACTCTCAAGTCTCAACGTTCAACGTTCCTCACCACAGAAACCGGCGCCAAAACTAAACACACATGCCAGCCAATGCTTGCATGCCGAGTATGAGAGCTCTCATGTATAATCTTCGGTCCATCTTTTTTCGTTCTCCTGCTCGCCCAGTCTGAGCCAGTGGCTTTCCAGTGCCCCAGATCTCCACTGCAGTGCAAGGATTATCCAAAGATCATCATTCTAGCTCTCGGAAGTGCCCTTTCATCTGCGAGATTGCCAACGCCCAATTCTCACATAATCATCTTTGGGCAATGAGGGATCATCCACATGGAGAGGCCATCAAGATACCCGAGTTACGAAACAGGACTCGATCATCGGATGGATGTGGAAATCTCCCAGATCGTTTCGTTATATCACGTGATTACTCGATCCATCTCCCTCGCAGTGCGATCGTAGCATGAGGGAGACGGAGACTACCTAGGTGACTAATGGCCGAAGCTCCTTACAGCTAGCTAGCCTTCCACATGTTTCATCTCGCATCGAGCATTTTCTGAAGCTCGAGCCGCTTCGACTTCTCTTTCGCATCGTGAACATTCATTCTTCATTTACGATACAAACTTTCCACTTCCCAAGTGGATCCCGGGCCGTTACAGCCCGATTCTGTCTAAGAATTGATTTGCTGAGCACACCTGGGCAATCATCGAAGACTCAGACTCAGCAGATATATGCATTTCACTAGTACAGACACGATGATCTAAGTTGCGTAGTCCTCTAGGTATAGTTTCTGCTATCTATCGTATGGGAACACGAAAGGGGGCTTTGGAATGACATGGTTGGAAATTCAATCTTGATCTTTTGCACCCAGGTAGCTAGGTAATTTATACTTTTCATTATGATGTATCTAGGTACATACCTAGGTACCTACCCATTGTACTCGTACAATAATTATGCAATCGAAAAAATATCCAATGGAATCTGCATCTTGAGAAACACGGCTCGCTCGCTCATTGTTTCATTCATTCATTCATTCATTCATGAATACCGTAGATAGATAAACGAATTCTGAAATCTCCCCAAAGTTCAAATACACAAACAAACAAACAATCACGAAAGCTCGACATCGTAGATAGACAGATCCACCATTTGAAAATTCAATACCTAATACCTAATACCTAATACCTAATACCTAATACCTAATACCTAATACCTAATACCTAATACCTAATACCTAATACCTACCTACTAGGTACTTCGATTCATCTATTACTAATATTCATCTATTACTAGGTAATACCTATTCATTAATATCACTCCCGAGGTTATTTCCATTCAGCCTCACAATTTATTTATATTAGGATTTACAAATCAAATTCGAAATTCGAGATTCGAAATTCAAAATTCAATTTCATTTTATACGATATTTGATTTATATAAATAATTAACTTGATGAATTTTTCGAATTTATTGTTTTTTTTAAGGGGGGGATTTTGTAAGGTTTTGTAAAAATATATGAGTATGTATATAACTTGTAGTTAATATTGATATTAATAGATATCTTTGAATTGATTATATGAGGATTATGTTATGATTTCGCTATAGTGGGTGGGTTGGTGAGGTGAAGATTTTTTTTGGGGGGGGGGGAAGGGGGGGGGGATGATATGTATTATACTATACTATATCATATTACATATCATTAAATCATGTATCATTAAATCATATATCATTAAATCATATATCATTAAATCATATATCATTAAATCACACACCATCAAAATACAAGCCCTCTTCTCCTTCTCTGGACCCTTTCCTAACTCAACCAACCTTATATATATACATATATATACATATCTAATCCTCCGAATGAATACTCTGAATCATATAGTATAATAGTTTCTCGGGCGTGATTACCATCTATCTACACTTTATCAAACCAGTGTAAGATTACATCTCGCAGTAACCTTATGTATAATAGGATAGATCGTGCATTATTGTATTTATATCATCAAGGAGACCCGAAGCACTTACATGGTTTTGAATACCTACAACGAGTTCCGAATTTCCGTTAACCAGAAATTAGAAATCATAAAAGTCAGGTTTTATAATACAACTCCTTGTGCTGATAAATTGTTATCTTGCTGATTCAAGGCCCTGCTTGATTATAACTGTCGCTTTCTCAGTAACTGCATATATTGTTGTTATAATTGTAGTATTGATCTGTATAGGAAAGATACTGGCGTCACCCACGCGAAGCCTACCAACCCCCTTCCCCCTCAGCCGTCCGTCCACAACCTGACCCATGGCACAGGTTCCCAAGACATGATGATATGGCACAATGCGATCACGAACATAGTCTCTCGCCTGGTTTCGACTGCGAAGATCGACTTCAGCAGGGGGGTCAACTCGCCTCGCAACCTTGTCTTTGAGAAGAGGTGATGGGAAAATTTAAAATTGGTCGGCAAATTTGACTCCAGCAGCCAGCATGTCAAACGTCGGCTGGGTGGGAAAGGAATCCTGGATCGATTGAGAGGGTATCCAGGATGTCGTGTGATGGAATGTGTACGCTGCCGCGAGAGAGGGGGTACATGTTGCTGACTGTGACCGAGTAACAGGCGTTGTGACCGTCAGGGGCACCAGACATCAGTTTACTGCAATCGAAGTGAGCTCTCCCGATATTGAAATTCGCTGACGAACAAAACAGAAGGATGTCCGCGGCTTTGGGGCTGCGCATACGTGCGACGATGGGCTCTTGCTGTTTCTTCTGGGAGATGGGGTCTTGAAGCGGTGACCGAGTATTCGCATGAGCACTAGACAAGATGGTGGAAATCGTTTCTTCAAATTCTGTCTTGTCCACTTGTGAAGAATATGGAATGTAACCAGGGAGACTGACGGCTCTAGAAAATACCCCAGGATGCCATTCCGTGTAGAGTTTCTGATGTTCTGCCATCAAAGCTGGGTTTCGAAATAATGAGTCAAGTGATAGGACATCGGGAGCTAGTTCATAGGCAACAGCAGACATAGTGTGCTCTTGAAGATTGTTGCCGACATGAGGGTTAGGTACTAAGCAAGGAATGTGCACCTCTTCAGGAACCTTGGGATCTCCGATGCCTGAAAGTTTGAGGAGCTGGGGACTTTGTATGGATCCAGCACTGAGGGTGACTTCATTTCTTGCGAAAGCCAAGTAGAAGACTCCCTCATGCTGAAACTCAACTTCTTTTGCGAAAAGGAACCCATCAGAGCCACTCTCTAATATGATTCTACGAGCGAGGGCGTTCGTCAGGACTATGGAATTTGCCCGCCCAGAGATCGGTGCCAAATATCCTCTGGCTGCGTAGCTTCGAATTGGCTTCTCTACTCGGTTAGTTGTAGATAGAGTTCTATAAAACCCCAGATGGCTGCCGTTGTACGGGTCCTCGGGTCGTGAAAGGCCGGATACTTCATCGAAGGCGAGTAGGAGCTTCTTTTCAAAAGGAACTTGCCAAGTACTCATCAAGGTGTGAATAGCTCCATTAAGGCCATGACAGTCCTGATTCAGAGGGCATTCCTCAAGACCTCGATTGAGAATGTTAGGCTCGTCGAACTCTCGCCTCTCGCCCCGTTCAAAATATGGTAACAGATCAGACCATGACCAGCCTTGGATCCCAAACGCCTCGGACCAGTCATCAATATCTCCGCGCAGGGTCGAGCGTAGGCCAGGAAATCGATGCCACTTGAACCACCAAGCATTTTTCCTCGTGGTACATGATACACTTTTTTTTTTGGTTCCCACCTGTAGGTAATGAGATATGAAGAATATATCGTGGATCCATGAGCCAAACTTCGAACAAAAGAAAATGAAGGAATAAAGGGAAAATTTAAATTATATATACACCTACAGAACACTTTTAAAGTTCCAATCGTATTCTGGATTACTTATCATCATTGCTACTCTTGCTGGTAGATCAACGTTTGGATCGCCGATGCGCGAGAGGCCTGCCTCCATCACGCCGACTCGAATGCGTGGATCCTCAGACAAGCGCGCAGCGAGGACTAAGCCCGCAGTGCCACCACCAACGATAAGAACATCAAATGGATCCCGGAGGAAATCTGCCACGGTAACCGTTTCTATTTTCTGGAGGAAGAGGAAAATATATTTGGAAGAGATTTCTGACTCTATTTGACTGCTCTTCCTCAGCGTTTGCAGAGAATTTGAAAGCTTGTTTGGTTGACTGGCTTTTATTCTACTAGCTTTTTTGCAATGGAAATAACCATAAATGAGGAGAAAAATTACTGTAAGTTTAAATCATTTAATGGCTATGAAGCTGTTTTGACGGCTGATTATACTTGAACCTTGAATTCATATTCTTATAAACCATACTTATACATTTGTATATTTGATCTCTCTCGAGTATTCCTCTCGGGTCTCGGAAAAACATGACGAAAAACACCAACCTTGAATAAACAAATAGCCTCTTCATATTTCCATACATATAATTGAATGGAAATAGCAATCGGATTACATATAAATCTAAATTGAAGTAATAAATATATATTTGAAACAAGCAGGAGAAACTACAAGCTTCACATTTCTCACCATACATAGTCATAAATTTGTGCTGCTTTTATTCCTCCCCAAATGGAACTTCAGATTTCTTTTCCTATACAAGTTGGTATTCCTCTCGATATCCTGTCGGTGTAGCAGAGTATGAATTCGTATGATAACATGAGCTGCTCACACGGCCATAATACACCACGACACTTATCCCGTGGTCACCGCTGCCAATTGCAAAGAACAAAAGAATCGAGCTGTTTTTATCACCAGAGCTTCCCGGGGTATTGGTCGTGCGTGCGCGGTTGCATTTACCCAGGCAGGCGCCTCTGCCATTGCTATAGGTGCTCGCGCGTCCCTCGACCCGGTCGAGAAGCGATTCTCGAGGAGGCAGCAAAAGCTGGTCACCCGGCTCCCAAATTCCTCAAGCGCACGCTGGATGTTTCCGATGAGAAAAATGTTGTCTCCGTCTTCGCGCAGACAGAGCAATCGTTTGGTCGTCTCGATATTCTTGTCAACAATGCCGGATGTCTCGAGAATGGGTTCCCGCTCGCGGACACCGATCCCACTTCTTGGTCGGCGACTTGGGAGGTCAATGTAAGGGGACATATCTGATGACGCGAGCCTTCCTTCCGCTCCTTCTCAGAGGTGGCCAGAAGAAAGACAATTACCAACATCAACTCGATCGGGGCGCACCTGTGCCGGGCGGGTGCCTCGGCCTACTAGACGGGGAAATTGGGGGTATGTCGTTTGCAGGAATTCACCAGCGTCGAGTGCGGGGGATAGGGAGTTGTGGCAATAGCTGTTCATCCTGGAGCCGTCGACACTGAACTCATCAAGGCCTTACCTGCCCAGTGTCATACGAATTTGGTCTATGCGCCTGAGTTGGCGGCCGATACGATCGTATAGTTGACCCGAGAAACACAGAGATGGCTCAGTGGGCGATATAGAAGCGCCAATTGGGATATAGAAGAGATCATGTCTCGGAAGGACGAGATTGTGGAGGGAAATAAATTGAGGGTCAGGTTGGTTCTATAAGACGTGAGATCCTTTAGGCAATGAGAGAATAGCAGAGAATAGCTTCTGATAAGCTCTCCAAATGGATATTTCCCGAGTTGCATGTATCACTTCACCACTGCAAGACATGGATAGATTCCTCGTTGATTTTAGTGAATCCTCATGAAGAGGCTGGTTCTCCTTTAGTTCTACTAGGTACCTAGAATGAAATAGGAGCTAGCTTTCAAACATACATTTGTCGATATTTCTCATCTACCTTCATCTTACATGAATCAATCTCAGAGTCTCAGATCTCGAGTTACACAGTGGCTATATAACAGTCACTTGAACCGATGATCCTTGCTTCCATCTTCTAAGATGACTGCCACCCCCCATTCCTATACAGCTTCGCAAAAGCCGAGCCCTCATCCGCAAGAAGCACCGTCGGACTTTCACATTCGACAACCCGGCCCTGATCCAGCATCACCACGCGATCAAAGTCCTGGATGCTCTGTAGCCGATAGACGATTGCTATGATAGTCCAGCCTTGAAACTCGGTCCGCAAGATGGACATCATGGTCTCCTCCGTAGGTACATCGACACTGGTTCATCACAGTAGTCGTTAGTATTATCTTCATACGATTCTCGAGAAGGGGGACAGTAGTGGAGTACCTGCTTGTTGCCTCATCCAGCAGCAAGATTTTACTTCTCCGCATCAGCATGGCCCTCGCCAAACAGAACAATTGTCTTTGTCCAGCGGACAGGTGACTCCCACGCATTTCTGCATCGTGGCCGCCCATCCTCCGGATCTGCTCTGTCAATCCGACTTTTTCCAATGCAACTTGGATCTGGGATTCTGTGGCTTCGCTTAGAGGGTCCAAGTTGGAACGCACAGTTTCATGTCCCCCCGGCAGAAACCACGGGTCCTGTGGCAGCGAGTTGATGCGCCCGCGGACTGTCTCTGGGGAAAGCGAAGAGATGTCGTCGTGCCCAATGGACACGACGCCAGACTTGGGGTCTAGCAGGCGTAGGAGAAGTGCGACGAGAGTGGATTTGCCCGAACCCGTGCGGCCACAAATCGCGACCCGCTGCCCAGCATCGATGATCAGATTAATCTTCTGTACGACCTCGGGACCGGAGACCCTTTGATCGTTGTCAGTAATATATCGTTGATAAAGGCAATTGGGGATACACGTACTGATATGAAGCAGAGACATCCTTGAACTCGATAGAAGTGTCCGAAGGCCATTCTACAGAGACGACTGCTGCTCCGTCGGACAGTTCTGCCGGCGTTTCTGCGACAAATCGCCGTGTTCTCGCAATAGCCCCCAAAGACGACTCGATACTAGTCCAGTAATTCACGAAAGATGATAGCGTTTGACTAAAACTCACAATGCTAACCATCGCAACTCCCAGCAGACTGCTGTTCATCGAATGCCGCAGCGTCACGGCTAAAGCAATGAGGATGATAGCCAAACAAGCGACGACAACATCTAGCACGAGATTTAACCAGTTCTGCAGGCACAAAAGCAGATAGAACGGTCGTTGCGCAAGATCGAGCAGTCCAAAGTTTTGGTTAAGGACGTACCCCTTCCATTTCAATGCACGTATGGTCCGCACCCCGTCCAAGGTCTCAGTGAGATGCGTATAGAGCGGGGATTTGGCTTCGAGATCGAGTAGCCGCATCTGCCGGGAGGTCTGGAGGTAGTACTTTTGAAGATAGAAGAGCGCCACTCCTAAAACAGGCAGACACAGGGCCATATAGCCTGAGGAGACGCAAGTCAGGATTGCTCCGGCGATGGTTTTGCCAAGTCCTATACATCTTTAGTAATGAAAGCGTGATAGAGAGGAGATGGCAGCAACATACCTTCGGTGGAAAGCAAAAGGGACATTGGTAATTGCATATCCATTAGGGTCATATCCTGAGTGAACCTGTTCGCGAGTCACGACGCTTTTTTCTATTGACTGAAACGGTTAAACTCACCGGTTCAAGAGAGATCCCGAGTCCGTGGCCGAGATAAAAGTCATAGGAGCCCTATGTATCCAGGTCAGCATAGATTGACGCAAAAGAGTTCCAGAGTCCCGACCTCATCCAGCTGAGCCACAGTGCTGCAAATCTATCAGTCAATGACTTGAATAGCTAATAGAGGGTCTGCCTAATTACGCTGTAGTGCGATAAAACTACACTGTATGGTGGTGAAAAGTAGAAATAAGCCAAAAGCTGGTTTGCCCATAGTGTTAATGTAGTATAAAAGATTACGGGGATCTCGACGTCCGCCTCTTTCACCTGCTTCCTCCTTATCCCTCTTTTCGTCGGGTATTGGAGAATCTGATGTACTTGAATTGATATCCAGCTTCGTAATGGAACTTGCGTTCTCGAATCCGTTTTCTTTCAAGTTGAGATTATGAAGATGTCCGGGTACTGATGTGAGAGATTGGTATGTGCCGAACTGTAATAGGCGACCCTCTGGGCTAAGAACGAGGATCTGATCTGAATACGGGAGCCATTTGACTGCATCTGTCAGCAGTGATCCTCAATGAAGATTAGATGGAGGTTTACCGGCATGAGTAACCAGTATAATAGTAGCACCAGTGTTTCGTATTAATCCATCTTGACTTAACAGTTGGTGAAAGCAGTGCCGTTCCGTTTCCGAGTCCAGCCCGCTGAGGCAATCGTCCATCAGGACAATCTTCTTCCGGGCGTAGACGGCTCTAGCGACGGTCTAAGTGGGAATACAAATTAGATTGTTTTTAATCAATAAAGAAAGATAACTCCAGAAAACAGACACGTTTACACATACCAAGCGTTGTTTCTGCCCGCCACTCAATGAAATACCTTTACTTCCCACTCGGCTACTATCGCCGTCTGGAAACTGACGAATATCAACGTCCAAGGCACATGCCCGCAAACAAGAGATATACCATTCCTGATCATAATCCAAGTTGCCAACGATGTTCTGTCAGATACTTTGGTTCGTTAGGAAAGGCGTCTGATCACAATATGCAATATCATCTGTCGACAGGCTTACTGAGCCGCTGTGCAGGATCCCTTCGCCTAGCAAGATCTGGAGTAAAGTGGATTTTCCGCATCCAACGGGCCCGACAACGATGGTTAGTGTGCCCGCAGTAATCTGCACGGAGAGGTCGTGGAGGACGGTCTTCTCTGGAGACCAGCCTGCATTGACCTGCCTAAGTTCAATGATGCTGGTGCCGCTTTCGGATTTCTCGTATTTCGGCTCCCTATCAGTCTCAACATCAGAAACTCTGGGCTCACGGGTCAGGCGTCTGAAGTCGACCTGTTTCTTGCCTTCCGTGTACTGTTGAATACGATTGCAACACTCTAACGCGGAGGCTAGATTGGGAATGGCTGAGACTAGCTCGTTCACCGGACTGATCAACACCGACAGCAGAGACAACGACGAGAAGATGGTTGCGGCACTTGGTGCCTTACCGGACGAGTACTTCGCAATAATGCCATAGCCGATGAAGGTGACGACGGGAGACAGTATGTTTGCGGCATTTCCTTGAGAAGCAATAGTTAATATAAGTTCGACAGCCTAGAAAGAGGAAGAGAACATACCGAGGGTGATATTGACGATCTGTACATATCGAAAACGCTTCGACTTTTGCAACTCTTGTTCTCTCAGATCTTGCACGTTCCCAGTGATCATATTGGTGAGACCAAGCATCTTCATACCCTTAATCGAGCCGAGAACATCCGAGGTGTAAGCCACACGTTTCTGAACTGCTTGCATCCATTGTCGCTGGCGCGGCCGGATTTTCTTAGCAACTTGACTAGATGCGTATGCCAGAACTAAGAACACGATCATTAGTATTCACATTGCTGTAACATGCGGTGATTGAGTGATCATCAAACTCACTCGGAAGCAAAATGACAGGTGCCACGCAAATTGCCCCGAGACGTGTCTCTAACATCCAGATGGCGACGGTAGCCTGAATAATGTTGGGGGCTGTACTGATGACCCACTGAAGCGTCGACATGACACGCTCGACATCGGCCCCCATCAAGCTTGCAGGCGAAGACGCCTCTACAGTGCCCACGGCGATATCAAGGCTCGACTTGTAGATGATGCTGATCAGCGCCGCGCGAATCATCGTGAGTGCCCGAGAAGTCAGATACTGGTACCACGCTGTCGAAATCTGAAGCAAGTATGAGACCTGCCTATTCATTTGAAACAGGAGAGGGAGAGGGAATATTAGATGAGACGTACAGCAATTCCAAGATATGTAATTCCAAAAGCTCCAATCAGCCCATAACCATATTGATTGGGTTCGGTTCCACCCTCGACAAAATTGATAGCATCTTCAATCAAAAATGGCTGGGCCATACTGAATGCGATTAAAACAAGTCTAGGGACCATAGTTACGGTGACTGGAGCCCAGAGCGCCTTGGCTATCGCTAAGGCGAGAGAATAGCTTTTATCTTTGGAACCTGCATACAATTTCAGCTACAGATATCACGGAAAGCGATCTAAGGACAAGGACGAACTGGAATTCCACTGCTTCTGAACTCGCTCGTGGACTGACTGGGACGAAATATGCTCATCGATTGGGTACAAATCATGGACCGTCAAATTGCCCCAATTGCCTTGATAAATCAACGGGTTCAGCCAGGCAAAGAAACTAAGGCTGTAGATACCGCTCCTCCGCTCTGGCATATCTGGGCCCTGCGTATGACTGTGGCTCGCCTTTGAAAGGGCCTCCAGAACCAGCAACAGGCTCTTGATAGCCAGTGCAGCTACGAATACGGCGGAAGTAGCGGATGAGCCCGGGAGGAGCCATTCTGTTCGTGCTCTTGCAATGTCCAAGATTGTTGTGAAGAAGAGAAAAACGCTGAGTAAGATCGACGGTCGCAGCGACTTTGCATGCTCCAGAGGCGACAAAAGCCCTATTGCGATGGTAGCGGCTAGATCCAGCGCTGCTGTTGCGATGGTCGCGCGTGTCCGTAATGCAGCATACAGAGGGAGCGTCCATAAGACTAGCAGGGCCAATCTGAGTAGACACAGTACCACGATGGTAAACTACAGTAGACTGCATATCAGCTTGCGAAGCGATAAGGCCTTGGATCTAGGGGTATTAGCTGACGAGTTTGAAAATCCGGAGTAGCGACCCTTTCACCGCGTCTGGTCGTCGATAAATTGACCAGAATCGAAACGGCACGGCGCATAGTAATAAGGTAGCTGGAAGGATGGTAAATATGCTCTACTCAAAGAGTAAGGTAAAATCGAAGCCATCCCGACAGCTTTGGACTTTCACTGTTGGCCCGAAGGAATCGTCGGGACACAAGGAGTTCAGCGAGTCATTCATCATGATACCCGCCGCCGATTTGCCGATGATGAGGTGAAAAGTTGAGAAGTAAATGCACGAAGTATATCCAATTGAAGGAAGAAGAGAACGACACTCCAGAGCAACCGAAGCAATATAGTACAGCAAAACCTCTCTATAAGGATACATAGAGGTATCCTAATATAGAGGTATCCGACTAATCCCGACCCGATAGTAAGCAATTAGCTTCCGTTTAGTCCCGATCGGATCATATTCCGTGACAATTTCGGAACTTTTTCTATTTTCACAAAATGTAACTCAATTCTCTATATAATATTATATCATAGCTCAAATCCTGATGATTCTACTAACCTAATAAATATAACGATGTCCTAATAGAGGGGTTTCATCTTGATCTACATGCTTGCTTCTGAAATAATACGTCAGATATATATCGGGAATTTTGTGGCGGAGTCGGAATGAGGAAGGAAATATCCCGTCTCTCGGTACTTTGAATGGTATTGTGAGTTATTCGGGTAAACTTCCAAATAGCATAACATGTTCGCAAGGGCTACGGGGACTTCATTTGATGGGTTTAGCCTTTGAGGTTGATAAGATAGCACTTAAACCTTTCGCTTAAATCTTTCGCTTAAACCATTTTCCATTACAGAAGAACTTGATTATATTAGACTGAAATTTTCGATCAATCAAATCTAATGTATTCAAGATTCCGATATAAAAAACAATAGTTTAAGCTTTCTAATTAAAATTTATATTCGATTTTAACTCCAAATCCTGATATTTTCAAAAAAATATTATATGATAATAATCAATTAAATTTACTTGTTTAAAAAAAAAGTTTATTTAATTAAATCCATTATCAAAATTTATATTAGATTTATTAAAAAAAGTATTCAATATATTAGTTTTGCTTAAATATCTGATATTCCTATATAAAAAGTAATCAAATCAGCAAATTTTTCTGATATATTCAAGATTCCGGTATATCCCAGTCCGGTATATCCAAGTTTCTCTATATTCAGAATGTCACCTCCACACATACAGAGTAGTGTGCGTGCATAGCCGGTAACCAGTACTTTGCCCTAAGAATGAGAGTTCCTGCACGCCAGGGGGAGAAAGTCGTCAGATTATTAGTGTTGGTGAGATGGACGTTGGTGCAGATCCACGTCATATTAGTATCCCGCTTGACTGCAGGTGCCCCTTCGACAACGGAATAAGCTTTAATATGCTTGGTAAAGCTTGAGCTGGGAAGATAAACATTTTCTAATAATCCGATTGGGGGTTCCTTATTAAATCCTTGCGGCGGCCGACTGGGTGCTTACGGACCCCGTGTGGCACAGCAGCACAAACCGGCTCATATCCTGCCAATGATCAGGTAATGTACGAAGTACGATGCCTTTTCACAATGCTTGAACACCTCCCTAAAGACGCCGAAAGACCCCACATCGTTTCTTTCAGACCATTGGCTTCTCAAAGGCGAGTAAGGGTTGGAATTTGGAGCAAGAACAAGTCATTCACTAGTAGCTATTGTGGAGATGATGCCGACAGTCAATGATGTTTGTTTTATTCTGCTGTATTGTAATATATTTGAGATTGAGATTGAGTTTAGGATTAAATAATCTTAATAATATAAGACTGAATAATTGCTACGACTAAGACTTAAGACTAAATAGTTATTTAGAAAGAAAATATTAGTAGATATATAAAGTTATAGAATACTTTCTAGCTTTCGAAAGTTATTTTTCAAACTCGTAAAGCTTTAGATTAAAATGTAAAATTGTATACTTATATATTTATATATATTATATTATTATTATATAGGATAATAGTATATTACGATGAAGGGGAATGATTATTGAATAATGGTATAAGTATGAAAGTGTGTATAGAATTAGAGTTACAATTAGAACTAATCTTTTCTTATAGAGAAGAAATGAGATTATCTACTAGGTGATCTTTAGGTTTCAATTATAAAAATAGAGATCAATCCTGTAGCCGATCTGATTATTGTTATTTCACTCCGAGGTGTTTTATATATTACATTTCTAATTATCATATGATCTGATCCACGTAGTATACAATACTATTTCCGTTACAATTATCAAATTAAATTAAATTTATTCGGATGAGTATGTAACGAGGGGAGGAGATAAACAGGGGTAAGAGGAGATATTTCCTCTATCCTCTAGACTACTGACTTAGGATATCTTAAGTGGTTTGTATATGAGCTTAATTATTAATAATTTAATAAATGATATTATATTAAAAAGTCTTTATATTAAATTTGAAATTTGAAATTTATTAAGAAAATAATAATAAATATATCAAATATATATTTATATTTTTTTTAAAAAATAAATCTGAAATGGTTTTAAAAGATATTATTATGAATAGTTACAATAACCAACAATTGAAAAAAGCCATAGCTCAAAAACACACCTAAAATGATTATTTATTAACCTTTTCAATAATATATAATTATTTATATAAAGTATATAAGAAATATATTTTTATATACATATAATAGAGATTTATTGATTATTTGATAAAAAATATATCAAATATTTTTAAGATTTTTTTTGATCTTGAATTCATAGTTTGAAATTAAAGCTTTTGAAAAAATGTGAAAATACGCTAAATTAACTAGTAAAATTGTTACAAAAATTGAATTTTTGAATTTAATTAACTTTAATCAATCGAATCAATACAAAATAAATTATTAAAAATAATTTGTTTAATTTTTATCAAAATTTATATAAATTATTATACTATATTAAAATCTTATAATAATTAATTCAAAGATATTCAGAATATCTAACTTTAAAAAGGATGAAAAATGATTATTTTTGGTGTGTTTTTCAGTTTCGGCTTTTTTCAATTGTCTAGTACTGTAACAATTATTATAGAAGTCTTATATTTCGATAATAAGAATTCTCAAATTTCTAATATTCTGAATGGTTAATAGAGCGAGGTGTCCTCTATTAGTAGTCTAGGGGATATTTTATGTATAGGTAGGTTTCGAGGTAAGTAAAGGGAAGGATTGAAGAAGAGTCTGATTGTATTATAAGACAAATTACTCTCATATCCCCCAAAAGTGATTTATTCATTCTCGTGTCCTGAAATTGAGAGGGGGTTTCCTCGTACGCCCCTTAGATTCTATAGTAGAGGGAGAGTAGATTCTATAGGAAAAGGATGGATTGTAATCACTTTAGAGTAGATTCTATAAGAGGATAGATTCTATAGTCGTTATATTATGGTCTAACAGAATATAGTATCCACTAACGATGAATCCATCAGTGGAACGCGAGGACGCGCGGAATTTAGATAAAGAAGTCGAGAGGTGTGATACATGGCATCTACGCGATATGTTCGAGTCGATCTACCTATATACGAGGAGTGGCTATGCGTAGGAAGATGGTGGATGGTTTGAGTGGTGGGACTTGGTATTGTTTTGATTCGAGTGAGGGAGGAGTAGTTAGCAGTATAGGCAATAGTATACTACAGTGAAACTGTGGCGCGTATTAGTATATTGATACGTATTCACATACCCTAGCTCCTCCAGTCACAAGAAGCTCTTCGATCAAAGAATCATTCTCGCTACTATCGCAACCAGGTGGTATATGGGGGTCTTTTGTGCCATCCATCAGAATTTTCAAGGGGCTATAACGAGCGAATGATGTAGTATCATATAGATCACCCACACAATAATTCACATCTGCCCCCCATTCTATCAATACAGATATACCGGCTCTCCATCTCATGTACACTGCTTGCTGAAGAAGACTTCTGCTGCTATCTGTTTTTGGTTCGTAGAAAGAGAGATCAGGATGCATGCCAATGTCAAGGAGTAATTTCAAAACCATCTCATCTCTTCTCTTAAGTACTTCATCTGTGATGTGATTGCACATATCTGTTTCATTACGACCGTGAGCCACCGCTCGCTTTAAAACAAAGCGAAGTTTCGCTTCGTTATCACATCGTGCGAAAGCTGCCAGAGATGAGATGAGGCTGTAATCGGGGCAACCGAAGCTTTGAATATGGTAGAACAAGAGTTGAAATCTTTCCATTGAGTCCATGCTTATGGCAACTGCAAGGAGGACTGATTCTATGTTTGAGCGAAAACATTCAAGCTTTAAAGGCCATTCCGACGGTATTTCGAGTTCACTCCTGACAACCAATGCCAATGATTCCTGATCAGGATGTAAAAGTGCATAAGAGAAGGGCTTCCACCAGAGACCAATATCGTCTGTTGGCATTAAATCGCATTCATTTGTGATCAGCTGTATAAAATCGAGAATCTCGGAGGTGCTCTTGTGGAATCCTCCCCCAACTGATCTCATGATTTCTATGAGAACCAAGAATAAAAAGCTACTACCTTTTTTTTTTCGCAAGCTCCAAGGCAGTTTGAAACCTGCCATACATTGTTGATGTGTCACTAGGGAAATTGAAGTAGTCGCGTACATGAGCCGCGTTCTCAAAATGGGCAGCTACGGAGAGTGGAGGACATTCTCCGAGTTCCAAAGGCACGTCAACAGTCGCGTTGTATTCATCGACGAGTAGTTGTTCCACTTGTTTCAGCTTAAAAAAAAACTGCGTAATAAATCGTTGTGACAGGACCATCCGCATTCTTCCATTGGACATTCGAAAAGTTGGTATCAAAAGAATCATCAAATTGGCCACGCCAGTCATCTCTCCAATGGTGCGAGTTCCGATATTGGCAAAACCAGGCCTCTCTCCAATGGTACGAGTCCAGATATTGGACAATGTATCTCGCTGTTTCCATGCCGTTTTGATATGAACAACCTCTCGCAAGAGATAGCCAGTGGTTGGAAGGGTACGTCCATATAATTCCATGGATGTTCTGTGCAGTGAGCCCGTTAATGTAATTTAGGCAGCATTCAAGAGCAAATAGGTGTAGAGTGGGTTCACCAAAGCCATTCATATATGTGACATTCAGATGAGTTGATGTCAGATACTCGCGAATTGAGAAGTGGGACAATTGGACAAATTCTGTGTATATAGGAGTGATAGTTTTACCGTCAGATGCAAGCCAATAACTTATACGGCCGTCTTCAATGAGGGTAACCAAACTCCCTAAAATATCAAGAAGTTCACGTGGATTCCCGAATCGATTATCAATGTTGAATGAAGATTTCGAATCGATGCCTGCCGCTACAGCTTCAGCTAATTGATTGAGCGTTAGGCCCTCCTGACAAATCACCAGCCACTTCAGTGCAGCAACGACTATGTCTGTGTAATCTTCATGGATATTTGAAAGCATTCTTTCGTATGTAGCATGCAGAGTTCGAGGCAGGCTCTTTAGAGTCTTTCGTAACATAGCTGGAGTGGGGCACCTTCTTAGGGCATCGAGCTGACAGGTCACCCACAGGAACCTACCACAAAGTAAGATTCTGGAACAGATAGGACTGTTGAGGGAATAAGGACTCACATTCCATTAGCACTGTCTTCCAATGCCATTGCTATCTCGGTCTTAATCTCAGGTGACCACTTTCTTAGTTTTTTGTCGTTTTCCAACTGCTTTTTGACGTATCGGCGTGTGTCCGAGTTGACATTTTCATTTCTGATAGGAAAAATTGAGAGTCTGGGTATCTCATCTATGATTTCTTTGATGTCCGCTTCCTTCCGACTGGTCATGAATATATGTAAACTTTTGTAGGCCCATGAGGATAACTCTTGCAGTAATTCACAGACAACCTGTCGATTACCTTGTTCGTAACCTCTAGGACATTCATCCACTGCGTCTAGGATTAGGTAAAATATTCCAGGCATCGACAACACGGCTTTAAGCATCGCTTTCAGCTTCTCTAATTGCGGAGCGGTGGATTGAATGTCATTGTAGATGACTAAAGCATCGTCGAGCGCGGCGTCATATCTGACGAGGAATTGTGTGAGAACGGAGCGCAGCAAATTATTGGCATTTTGTTTTTCAGTTTCATTGAAAGAGAAGTAGTAATATGCGATGAAACGGTCGGAATTATTGGCACAATAATCGGTCATATCCTGAACAACTGTTGAGCTGTATTTCTATTAGCACGCGAGCATAAATTTCTTAATGGTGATGGAGGGCTGCCCGTACCACAAAATTGTTTTGCCGCAGCCTGATAGACCCTGAACCCAAAGGAAGGAATTATCGCTCGTCTTCCAATTGCTGTATTCATTACTTTGAAGAAACCATGACCCGGTGCCAGGTTCAAAGTGTCTTCGCGCCAAGTCATGGTTTGTTTTCGGGTCTGCAGTCAACAACCAATGGAGAAGGTCCTTTTTCTTAGATTCTGTTGCTGCTGATCAGTAATTTGTAGGAGTCAAGTATAGATTGTTTACCTCGGGCTTTTATCTTCTCATGAGACTCGAAATCCAAACTTTGCTGAGTGATTGTGCATTTTATATCCTGGATGCTATCCTTAACATCTTGAGCATGTTGGACGATGTTTGTATGATTTGTATTGATACTCTGATTAAAAAGACTGACATCATGTCTAATATCGCGAGCATCATCTTTAATGTCTCGGATATGGTCTTCAATCCTCTGCGCTTTTTTCTTGATATCTCGAGTGTCGCATAGAGCCTGCTGGGCGTACTTCTCGACTGCTGCAATGATTTGTCTGTAGTAAGACTTAGCACAGCTTTAATTTCCAACATGTATTTTAGACCGCGTACAGTTGATCGGACTGAATTGCAATATCAAACTGCTCCCTAATATCATCAAAGCTTGACAAACATTTGTTGATTTTCCTGTCCCAAGAACTCCCTCTAATCCATCGATTAAACAAATTCTTCTCCTTTAATCTTTGTTGGACTTCGTTGATGACTTCCTGACATTCTTTCCAGGGCTGTTCAGCTTGTTCAACGAGGCAGAATCGCCCTTCACCTTCATCAATCGCAGCTATATTCTTCAAACCTTGATATGAGGCAAGAAATCTCCGCAATGTCTTTAGCATACGCTCTAGATCAGTTCGGTTGTGTTCAGATAGTCCAACAGTCTTCGACAAAGCCTGGGCTAATTGAATACAAGCAATGATGCTGGCTGTGAGCCCGAGAGCGCTGACTGGATCCATCTTGGTTAACCGCCTTTTGAGCCTTGTCGGAGATCAGAAACGAAGTATCATCGACAGCTAAACAATGCTAATTGCGCAAGATCCAGAGTATCTGTGATTGTGTTAAAAAAAAAAAAGACGCAGTTGTTGGCAGACACTGGTCAAAGAAGTAAAAAATGTGTCGGGATATTGATCATGTGATCTAAGAGGGCATTGTATTGCAATTAGCGTATGTATTAGTGTATGCATTAGTGCTAGCATTTTTATTATATTAAGTATTAGTTTCTTATAGTAATAATAATCAAGGATGAATAAAATACAATAAACTAAAATACTATATACTTTATCAATTCAAATTGATATTAATACTAATTAGTAATATTACAAATTAGGGTCTTGGATTTTATTATAAAGTATTAGGTGTTTTGAAATGGTTTTTAAAATTGGTAGAAATTCTGAAGAGATTATAAAGAAAGATATTATTATATTAGATATAGTATATTATCTTTTATTATCGTGTTAAAGAGTATGCTTCAAATAATTATATTAGAAAAATATATTCAAAAAGATCGATCTGATCAATTATAACAAATCAAGCTTATATCTATTATATATTAGCCTTTATATTGTATGTTATATAGAACAATCTATATATTTTTATTTAAATATTTTTATAAATATCCTTTCATCTATATCTACAACCTTTGAAATACCTACAACTTTTCGAAATACTTACAACTTTTGAAATACTTATTCTTATATATATTATTATATCGAATAATAATAATACTACAATTATTCCTAAAATTATTGATAAGAATTTATATACAAAAGAGAAAAAAGAGTACTGTAAGGAATAATTAAGTTTATTAAAAGAACAAAAGACTAATAAGAAGGATATTGTAATTGATATTAAAGAGTTTACTAAATATATCAAATTCAAATACAAACAATATAATTATGAGAATATCAATAATAACAAATTTATCGAAATCTTTTATAATAACTTCAATATATTCACAAATAAACAATTCGCAAAGATCCATTAGATAGATATATAAAAGTTATATATAATATTATATATACAAGGAGTAATAATATCAAAAATAGATATTGAAATATATACAGTTTTATATAATTAATTTTATAAATCTATTATAGGAATATAAATAAAGGATCAGATTCAGGAAATTCTGAAGGATTGTAATATTAAAGATTCTAAGTTTAGATTCGGAATAATTAAAAGATTTATTGAAAATAACTTCAAATACGATAATAATCGAGGAGGTGATAGAGATAATAATGAGAATAATAATGGAAAAGGTAATGGAAAAGATAGTGGAGATGGTAACAGAAATGGTGGTGAAGGAGGAGATTCTGATGATAATAATAGTGGTAATAATAATAGTGGAAAGAAGGGATAATATAATAGGAATAAGAAATTATTAATATATTCTAGTTATTTTAATAATCAATCTTTTATTAGTCTATCAAAATTCTATATCGATAAGGAGAAATATAGTAAAGATGATAATAATTTCGATTTTAAACTTTTAATATTCTATAAGATTATATAATATATAGAGATACTTATAAACTTGCAATATAAAGTATTTTTAATTATACTTAAAGATAATATATTTTAGTTCTTTTATATTAATTATACTTTACTATTATCAACTTTTAAAGAGCTTTATATTTATATATAGAGTAACTTTGAAAAAGAAGAGTATTAATATAATATGTTATCTAAATGGAATAATATTACTTTCAAATTAATTAAAAAGAAGTATAAAAATAAATTACTTAATAAATATTTTACTATTATAATCAAGGAATTATGTATATTATAATACCGACTTGATTCTATTATACGGTAGATATTTTATTTATATAATAAACTTATATTTATATATGAAAATATGAAGATATATAACCTAACTTGTTTTAACCCTAAAAAGGAAATATTCGGTTTAATTAATCAATTATAATAATTTATTAATATATAAAAGAGATTATATAAAAATGAGAAAGATGAAGTACTATTTATTGATAGGAGATTTTATAATAATATTAACCGCAATAGTTTTAGGAATTCTAAAAGTAATAATAGTTTTAGATATAATAACTTTAAAAGTAATATATATAATAAGTTTCAATAATTTAATTCTTTAAATTAATATAATTATTACTGAATATATAAGAAAGAGGAATATTGATTAATAAAGTATATTTAAAAAGAATAAAATAAAAACTATTATAAATATTAGAAAAAAATTAAGATTAGTAGTAATAGTATATATAATAAGCATTATAATTAATAATTGATTAAATATAAGAAAGAGGTTATAAATATAGAGTTTAATTCAGAAACTGAAATAAGCTAATTCTTTATGGATCTTGATATTGATAATAATAAAGAAAAGATATTTTTTATTAATTCAAAATCTATCAACAATTAGGAAATATTCAATCAATTATCAATCAATACTTTCCTATACACGATTATTAGGAATTCTATTGAGATTGTTTTATTTATAGAAAATCTAATAAACGTTTTTTATATAAATTATATAAACAAGGAGTTCTATAGTATATATATTGATATAGCTTATGCGGGAAAATCTACAATCGGAATTAGACAATATTATATATAGCGATAGATATACCTAATGATATATAATCTACAAATAGCAGAAACTATAAATATATACTTTGAAAAGAGGATTGCAATATCAATAGGATCATTTCGTATCGAAGTATTATTTAGATATATCGACTTTTATATTATAAATACTAACATTTCATTTTTATTAGAATTAAAGGATATAAACCGGCTTAAGGCGTTTTATAACAATATTACCAACAAATTTATTAATCCAACCAGTCAATACTCTGTTATTAGGAAACGCGGATATGCGTTTTTGATATAAAAAGTGAATATAAATCAATTCATTCAAAAATCGATTTGTTAGAATAATTATTATTTAATAATTATTAAGCTATAACACTTATATTGTCGATTTGATTATCTATCTATATAATATTTTTACTGTATATTACAATAAATAGGTTATAATAAAAGCAATAATACTATCAAGCATCTCACTAAATACTATAAACACTATTAAATATATAGCAAATTACCAGAACATTTTAGATTCACTCTACTAAAGAATACTAAATTCAACTATACTATATATATTGATATTATATATATTACAGGAAAATCAGTTTTATATATTATTAACAAAACAATTCGATATCAAACCACTCGATTTCTTGAAAACATTTCAGCTAAGCATACATTCGATAGCCTTCAGAAATACTGGATTGATATATATATAGAACCATTAAACTATATTATTTATAATACAAAAAAGAATTTTATAAATAAAGAATTTATTTAGAATGTAAAATCCATATCGATTATTATTAAGAGTATACCAATTAAGATATATAACTTAATAGATATTATAAAACAATATTATTATTCTCTATATTATATATATAAGATCTTAATAAAGGAGCTTAAGAATAACAATTTAATAAAATCGATAATTCTACAAATAGTAGTGAAAGCTATAAATAATATAGTAGAATCTAATAAACTTGTTTTTATATTATTAATTTATAAAATATATTCTAAATTAAATAATATCAACCCCCTAATCCCAATAATTATTTAATATATAAAAACTATAAAGAAAACTATAGCGAAAATATATTATATACAAATTAAAAAATAAATTATAAAAATATTCAAAATAAGAAATAGACTATCTATAATATCAATTCTTACTCTATTACTTAACTTATAAGTTTTAGTATAAAAAGAAAATAAAAATAATAATATATCAAATAAATGGATTAGACTATATACCCTAATTAGAATAAATAAGGAGATATATAAAGTGGAATTTATTAATGGACTGACTAAATTTTGATCTATATTAATATAACCTTTTTATAAAGAATCTGAAGAAGTCGAAGTCGAGCCGAATGATACCAATACTATAAATGATAACAACGGTGATACTATAATAATTAATACATTACATATACCTACACCACAACTACAAACACCTCCCCCAGTGGTACAATCAGGTATACAACTACAGCATCAACTGTATAGCAATTTGATTAATATAATTAATATAACGAATATCGACATTAAACCACAATTACAATTAACTGTATTTTTACAAGATAATATACCTACACAATATAAAAAATTACAATACAAGGAAATTAACAGTTTGATAAAGAATAGAGTTTTTAAAATTATTTCAAAAGCTAATATATTACCCGAAATATAATTATTTAAATTTCGATTTATTAATAAAATTAAGGAAAAAAAAACTAATAAAATATATACAAAATCACAATTAATAATTCAAATATACAAGAATATGGGTAAAATTATTATTTTAATATAATTACTGATTATTATATATATTAGTTAATATATTATTCTTATACTTATTATTATTTTGTAAGTATCAAATAAGCATATTCAGATCTATTTACGGAATATTATATAAATATATATCCAATCAATTATAACTTTGAATAAACCTATTTATATAAAAATATTAATAGAAATCAGACTTGATAACGGATATATACTATATATTATCAAATCTTTATATAATATTCTAGAAATAGAAAACTATTAATTTAAAATCTATTACAATTATTATAGGGATAGGCTGAATATAATGTAATCTATATATAACTCTTGTTTATTCTATTCAATTGATTATATTAGTATTATAGAACTTCAAATTAATGATACTTTTATAATTAGAGATAAGAGATTTGTATATTTAGAATAAAAAAAACTAAAGGAAGCTAATTTTATAATTAAAAACAAAAAGCAATTTATTAAGAACTATTTATTCAAGTTTAATAATAATTTAATTACTTTTAAGGGTAATAGGATTTATTTGAATTAAAAAAAACAATACAATAATCTCAGAATAGTTATATCAAGAAATATTGATATATATGGAATGAGA